ATAAATTTCTAAAGCAGTGAAATGAATTATCCTTTAGGTACAAATGCATTCTGGTCAAGAGTCAATTAATTAACTAAAAACAATTTGACTATTTTCATCAAAGCTTGTTTCAGTGCACAAAAATGCAAACTGTTCCACAATTCTTAAAAAACAAAACAAAAAAAATCAGTTTCCCTGTGACACAGACAATCCATGTAACTTGCAGTATGACATGTTTTCATCAATATCATGATAATCATCATGGCGGTGGTAGCTGTGTCAACAGTACAGTTGCCATGGAGACTGCAGGATTTCCACAGTCACGCTCTCCTTTCCAGCGACCCAGTTTCATCATCATTTCATTGTAACTCTCCAAGAGCTCTCAGCTCTCCGCTTTTACATGTAGCCTCTGAATCCAGCTGATTAATGTACAATTTAAGTAAGAGCCTTGAGTCAACATGCTGCAACTAGGAGCTCTGCTGAGAAAAAACATGGGCATTTGGGCTGCACTGTGAGGTTGAGTGCAGTTGTACTTTTCCACTTGACTGGAGGGCCATAAATTTAGTCAGTTATTGATTGCTCGGTCTCAAACACAACTTGCTTTTGATAGCTTTTTTTCTCCAACTGATAGAGGTTTGATCAAGTATGTAAATATTTAGAATTTATTGTGAACAAAGAAGGACAAAACATTCACATGCATTGTACTGATGGTTCTTTGAAATTACATGTACAAAGTACAAACATATAGGTAGGTCAATAACAGGTATACAATCTGTATTTTAATTAGACAACTATGAATTCTTTGAGTAAATGTAAATAAATGTGCTAGTATAATATTGTATTTTTAGAGTGCTAGAGAAAAATGTGATAGTTTCCAAACCTTTCTCAAAAACTGTCACTGCTTACAGGGTCCAGCATGATCCATCCAAAGCCAAACAATTGACATGTGGCCATGTCATTGCTTGTTTTCTCACACACCTTTCACAGCCCATGAGACACACAGCATCGAGTATTAGCCACAAATTTGCCATGGTTAAAGGTCCACACTTTTCTGCAGATGGATTCCTCGTTGCACAACATCTTTACTATCTCTATCCATAAGTTTTTGGTCATTTAAATATCATTTAACTAAGTGTCTGCTTGTGTGTACAACAATCAGCTTCTAGAAGCAATAGAAACATTTTGAAGCAAAATGCTGCTTTTACTGTCTGAGAACTTTTCAACATAAACACATCCACAAATTTTTGACCATTCACATAATAATTTTGTGTGTGGAATGTGGGCATAATGTTCGCTTGGGCTTATGACAATAAGGGGTGGCTGACACAAAGCTGAGAACAAAATGAACAAGTAACCCAGATACTTAAACTCCTCCATTTGAAGTAGAGACTACCCTGACCCAGAGTGGGCATTCCACCATTTTTCAGTTGAGAACCATGGCCTCAGACTAGAGGAACTGACTCTCATCCCAGTTGCTTGTGTTGTAGTCAAGACCACCTAACCCGAGATCAAGTCAAGACCAAGACCACAGTGTCTTGAGACCGAGATAAGACCAAGACTTTTAGGGTTTGAACCAAGTCGAGACCAAGACCAAGGGAGGGCGAGACCGAGACAAGACCAAGACTTTTAGGGTTTGGACCAAGTCGAGACCAAGACCAAGGGAGGGCGAGACCGAGACAAGACCAAGACCAGATTTTTAAAAAAGTGTCCTAAAAGATGGAGTATTCTGTACACATGTACTGTGGGGAAAATAGTATTTTGTCTCTCATAGTTGAGGAGGTCTAAATATGATGTCAATCACAGGCCTCTCTCATATTTTTAAGTGGGAGAACTTGAACAGTTGGTGCCTAAATACTCCCCCCCACTGTAGCTAACTTAATATATAGAGTTATTTTTGACAAAATCTTTGTTTGAGGGCAGAGATTAGAATTTTGCTACAGAGGTAGATTGTTAACGTTAGTGATGGTTAAAGTTTAAAGTTGTACCCACTCTCTCTGAAAGTAAAGCACTGACAGATTTACAAGTTGCTGTATGCTTTCTCCTGGTTGTTGTTTTTAATGATATTATTTATGAATAATGTTGCCAAATTTTTTACTTAAGATTTTGAAGACATATTTTACCGTTCACAGAGAATGGTAAGTTCACTTTCCGGGAGTGCTGTGTGCAAGTGATGGGGGGTGGTGATGGGTGACAGCTGGTAACAAGAATACATAAATAGCAATAAGTCAGGTTTGGATTTGGTACATTTTAAATCAAATCAAAGCAAGAAATTAATTGAACAATAATCTGGCTATTTAGTGATATTTCTGCAGTTGCGGTCTTGACTGGTCTTGAAATAAAATTCAGAGTCCTCAATGTCCAAGACTGAGACAAGACCGAGTACAAATGCTGTCGAGTCCGAGACAAGACGAAGACCATCAAAAAGTGGTCTTTGAGACTGGTCTTAAGACCAAGACCGGTTTCACGTACTACAACACTACCAGTTGCTCCACACTCGGCTGCGAACGCCCCAGTGCACACTGAAGGTCTTGGTCTGAAGACACCAACATAACCACATCATCGGCATAAAGCAGAGATGAGACTGTGTGATCCCCAAACCTGACACCATTATCTCCATGGCAGTGCCTTGAGATCCTGTCCATGAACACTACAAACAGGATCGGAGACAAGGAACTTCCCTAGTGGAGTCCAACCCACACCGAGAACAAACTCGACTTTGTGCCAAGAATGCAGACACAGCTCTGCTTTGGTTACACAGAGACTGGATCACTCTTAATAGCAACACAAACACTCCATACTCTTGTAGCACCCCCTCACAGAATGCCTCGAAGAACACGATCAGAAGCCTTCTCCAGGTTCTTGTCTTATCCAGGTTTTTGACTACCTTTGTGACCTTTGCCACAGTAATGGACTTGTCTTCCACAGAGTCTTCAGACTCTGCCTCCTCGAAGGTGGACATGGAGGGTGGACATGGAGGGTGGATTGAGGAGATGCTTGAAGTGTTTCTTCCACTGTCCAATGATATCTTTAGTCCAGGTCAGCAGTTCCCCATCCAAACCAAGTACAGCCTTGGACAGGGAATGCTTTCCATTTTCAGAAGTTTTCCAGGAAAGCCAAATACTGAAGGCCTTCTATTCCATCCTGATGGCCTCCATTGCTGGTGTCAACCAGTGTGTCCTCTGGTTGCCACCATGACAGGCACTGATGACCTCCAGGCCACAGCTCCCAGAAGCCAGGTCTACAACGTAGGCTTGTCACTTATCTTTGGTCTACAGTGACCTGGCCAAGTGCACTTACGTACCAGCCTATGCTCGAACATGGTGTTTGTTATGGACAACCTATGCTTAGCACAGAAGTCTAATAACAGAATCCATTTGGGTTCAAATCAGGGAGGCCATTCCTCCCAATCACCCCCTTCTACATAACTCCATTATAGCCCACATGGGAATGAAAGTCACCCAGTAAAACAAGGGAATCCACAGACAGCATCTCTTCCAAGACACCATCCAAAGACTAAAAAGGCCGGGTAATCTGAACTGATGTTTGGTGCATAAGCACAAACAACATTTAGAACATTCCCTCCTGCAGCACAAAGCCGCAGAGAAGCAACACTCTCATTCACCGGGGAGAACTCAACACTGAGACATACAGCCGAGCCAAGGTTACGTTCCATATCCATAGAGTCAGTCTATGTCACCAGGAATCGGCATGCCCAGGACCATTCCTCGCCTGCTGCCTGGCATGCATTGCACCTGACCTTGATGGTTCTCCCCAGAGGTGGCTTTCTATTGTCTCTTCTGGCTTGAACCAGCCAAGCCCGAGGAGCCAGGGTGGTGCCCTGGTTTCTCTTTTCCAGGCAAGGTTTCCTGTTGTGGTAGCTTTTCCATTTCATCAAGGGTTTTAAATCGCTCTTAGTCTCCCCAAGGCCTGTTTGTCATGTGAGACCCTGTCAGAAGCTAATGCCCCAGACAACATACTGTAGCCCATCAATATGACGGGGGTACTCAAACCCAAAACCAAAATGTTAAAGTGGCAATTTTTCTTTCTTTCTAAAAAAACTTCTTTAGGAAAAAATTATCATGTTAAAAATCAATAAAGTGACGGAGCAAACAGTGGTGATACAAAGCAGATTCCAAAAAAGTTGGGACACTAGAGATATAGTACACTGGCATTCGTCAACTAATTAAGAAATGACGTCACACAAAAGTGACAGATGCCACGCCCCTTTAGGGTGGGACTTCCGTATATGGTCAACTTCTGGCCCTCCTTCCTCGGGGGACTTCCATATATGGTCAACTTCCGTTTCATGACTTCCTCTTCCGATTTACCGTAACTGTCCCCCTCCCTCTTTCCCCCATGACTTACAGTAACCCTACCCCTCCCTTTTTCCCCCTCGATTTACCGTAACCCTACCCTCCCTCTTTCCCCCCTCGATGTACTGTAAGCCTTGACCGTAAACATCCTGTTTTTGAACAGATGTTCTATTGCAGAAAGAGTTTGACCTGACATAAACCCTATCCTCTTGACCACAGCATCCTGTTTTTGAACAGATGTTAATCTTATGCAATCCTCCTCCTGTCTGTTCACCCTTCCTCTTTCCAGTTCGTGACTTCCTGCCTCCCTGAAAACTGTCAGGTCGAGAAAGTTTTCATCAAAGTGACCCATCGTCCAATCAGCGGTTAGGGTTAGGCTTTAGACCCAACCCTCATCCAATCAGCTTGTGTTTAAAGTATTAGATCCCGCCCCTCCTCAGTTCTCGATGCGCTTAAAAGAACGCGTCTCATTCAGTCGATACAGCCATCGTTGAGAAGACACCTGCTGTGTTCCAGACCCGTCAGTACTTTCATCAGCGAGCGACAAGACCCCCCTGCACGGCAACTGAAGTAAATTTTAAAGGTTCATAAATTTTTATTTTGTTTAATGTACCGTATTTATATAGTTTTTAAATGTACTCTGTGTTGTCTGTCATCAGCGAGAAGACCCCGTCGCTGTGTTCCGGCAGCAGCAACGTTTCGCAGCACCAGCACCAAACGTAAAGTAAATTTAAAGGTTTGTAATTATTTTATTTTGTTTTATTCTGTTTAATGTATATATATAGATATATTTAAATGTACTCTGTCTGTCAACAGCGTGAACTATCTCTGCGCTCCACCATCAGCGTTACGCAACGCCAAACTTAAAGGTTTGTATTTATTTTATTTATTTAATTATGTTTAAAGTATTTATATATATATAATTTTTTAATTGTATTTTATCTATGTGTGTGTGTTCCAGCAGCAGCTTTGCCCGTGAGATAGAAACGGAGTTCTCCTTTTTTTTTTCGTTGCACAAAACTAACAGGTGAGTATTTTTTTTATTCAGAGTTATATTGTTTTTAAAGTCTTATTTTTCTCTCTCTTTTCTTTTGTATTTCACCAGCGACACGACCCCACTGCAC